ACACATCGCCTACACTGGCCACTCACACCCCTATATACATCCCCTACAATGGCCACGTACACACCTATATATCTCCCACATGAGCCTTTTCATAAACACAAGTTCTGGCATGGTCATTCTTAAATCTCTTGTCTGTCGCTATAAGGACAAACTCTGCTGCAATATCCACTCACATACCTGCCACTTCTAACAGCGCTCTCATACCAGTGACTATCTAATAGACACAACAAACATTCCTACACAGTATTCAGTGGGTTTCAAACTTGACAATAGTTGACAACACAGGTCAACAACCAGACTATAGAACCAGTCACATTCAGAAAGAACCATACTGCCCATGTATAAGGCCTGTAAATCCACATGAAAAATAATGTGTAGAATGTCACCTGTAAAACGCTTGTCCAAGTCTAAGCATTTACCTTAAGAGCAAACATTTGACTTGTTGCGTTGTAGCACGTAATACAGTATACTAGATTAATAGAATTTCGTTTTTGTTAATGAAGGCAATGAGGCAATATTCCCTGCATCTAAGATACAGCCGTAAAGGGAGATCATGCTTCATTTTAGTAGTGAAGGTAAACTGAAGGATCAGGGCTACAAATGGGAACTAATTTCAGTATTCGATTTTGCCATTGCAAATTCACAATTTATTTTTATTTCTTCTTAAAAGCAGTAGATCCGACCGATTGCGCTAAAACGGTAATCGATACCGTAAAGTTCCTATGGTTTAGCACGTAGAAGCCCCGCAATGTACTCGTTACTGTATTACCAAGAAACAACTTCAATTCGGCCGGTAAATACTAGTGCCCAGATTTCGGCCCCTTTAGCTCCAGGCAAAAAAACAAAAAGACTTATAGCCCAAGTATCGGTTGTGTGCCACAAGACCGATCTTTATTCAATAAGTAGTTTTCTCGTCTTATTTCGATGTCTGCTTTCCTTCCTGCCTCCGACGCCCATATTTCCTCGAGGCCTCTCTCCTTTTTCGATTAAAGCCTGTCGAAAATAGCTGTTGGGGGAGCATCAGAGTCCCTTATCCAAATGGGCCGTTCGCAAAATAAGAAAAGAAAAACTACACAGCTAGCTTGGCATTTAACTCCATTACATGATCTCTCACTCCTCGCATCGTGTTACTTTAGTCAGCAGCCCCGTTTCCCCATAGCTTTAGATTATTAAATAAATACTCACTGCCCATCTTCAAGTTACCAAACCCTGACGAGCTGCTCCCGGAGGCCTGCGAAGCCCCAGTCTTTCCTGCGGCACTCCCACCAGCAACGGCCGATCCGGCGGCGGCTGCAGCGGCTCCGGGAGCGCCTGGTGGCTCGGCAAACGAGCTGGTCCTGGGCCGCCCGCTGCCGCTCATATCTGTGTGCTAGGGTGTCGGGGCAGGGGGGACGAGGGGTCGCTAGATAGGGCCAGACGATTGCCGGATGTGTCTATTTTGACTTTTAAAAAAATCGATAAAAGAAAGGCGGCATTAACACGGTATCAGTGAATATCTTCGTCTATCCCTCTCTCTCTTCTGTCTGAGCAGTTAGACCGGACGCACAGAAACGCACCGCTACGCGCTTTGCCTCATGGGTAACGAAGTCCGGACCGGCAATTCATTAGGATGTTTGAATAACATAAGTACTAAAAATAATAATTTATTCTAATTATTTGTCATTTTTTCACATTTATACAAAACTTTAGATTGGATTTATAACAGAAAACAATGCTTTATTTTACAATGGTGTCTTAGGCGAAAAGCAGAACCAACACACCCCTACTCGTACAAAAGTGATAGGACTTATGGGAAATGTATTCGTTTTCCGATTGAAACTGAACTTATGGAGCTAGTCTTACTTTCACAGACCATTTTTACTTAAACCCCATACAGTAAACGCTGCATGGCAGCTAAATATTCTATTTACGAATAGTGACAAATTACTTGGAGAAGTGATAAACTAGCCCTTTCACTTGTTGTTGTCCGAAACAACATATACAAAATTGACTAGGAAGACAGAAGTTCGGGTGAAATCCCACGGGCTAGCCCCGGAGGATGGAATACCGGGTAAACTTCTCAGAATATTCCCGTTGCGTTCCGGACAACATGCGGTACTTTTTAAGTCACGATAGCACTTTAATCGCTCATTTCCCCGTAATGGCGACATGTAACCTTTTGCCGCCCCAAACTACGTCAGATGAAAAACTCCAATCCGCCCGGCATGGGCCCACACGGAGAGTGACAGGCCGTCCGTCCAATCAGCGCCGCCTTAAATCACACGGACAAGCTGTGGGGCGGGCCGGCGCGGAGACAGAGGGAGATCGGCGGACAAACGTTGTATTTCGGCTTCCTTGAACGTGTTTATACTGAGACGTTGAATGCATTTTAAATAGTCGTATAAAAGCCGGAGGAATTTTGCACGGTGTCACGACAAAGAAGGCCACACTGCATCCTCGGCGCGCAGTGACAAGTCACCCGCACGGGGGACTATACTACAACTGTAACAGAGGTAAGACGGTGATCCGGGAGGAAAGGAAGGCCCGGGCTTGTTACAGGAGACCTGCGGAGAAAAGTGGAGAGCGCCGCCTGACGACCGCTTGGAACCGGGGCGCCGCAGCCACGAGAGAGCGGTGCGTCTCAGAAAGGCAGGGGAATCTGGAGAGCGCCACCGTTTGCTCGCCACGGGCCATTACACAGGGGTATACGGTGGAGAATGGAGGGAGACGAAGTGAACGGAGAAATGTGAGTCTGTGAGTTAGGGATAGAGGAGTCGTGCTTATCAACGTGGACGAATATTCAGTAAACAAGCAGCTGTTTTTTTTTTATTTTTAAAAAAAGCAATCTCACATCTAAGTCTTCAGTATACAGTCAAGCACACGATGTTTAATAATAAACACGCTCCGATATGTGCGTACGTTTGCTGAAGGGAGGTTTTAACTAATAAGTACTATACCATATACCAAGTTGAATGTATTGGTAGAGTCCCTAATAGAGACCGATCATATGAATGGCCAGATTGGTGTGTATTAATCAAACGTTTGCATTTGTGTACAGTGGGCATAGCATGCGGCGTCTGGTACCGTAACCCATGCCAGGCTATGGATTTAGCCAACTCATTCTGTATCATAACCAGAAATGTGAAATCTGGAAGCTGACTGAAGTCAACGGGCATCGATCAAACGCCCCGAGCGAAGCACATCGAGCTATAAAATAACAATTAACCTGTAAACTTAGAGTTCTAGTATCTCTACTTATTTGCATAAACTTGCCTTTATAACTTTCATCCCCTTACTGTTCTAGAGATAAAACGTCTCAAACGTAAAGAAAGCTGTGGTGGGAGTTAATCAGCCATGAGAAAGATGTTTAGGTTGAGAAAACATAGGATTCAGACTCATTAATGTGTGTCACAAAGGACACATGTCATTCTGAAACACACTTTGAAAGATAATACAGAAATAATACAAGCAGGGGTTAAACTTAATGAAGACTTATCATAGTTAGAGTGTGGAATAGTCTTCCTGCTAGTGTAGCGGAAGCTAAAACCATGGGTTCCTTTAAATCAGAGCTAGATAAGATTTTAACAACTCTGAGCTATTAGTTAAGTTCTCCCCAAACGAGCTTGATGGGCCGAAAGGCCTCCTCTCGTTTGTAAATTTCTTATGTTCTTATGTTCTTATTAGTTATGTTGTATTTTCCCAAGGCCCACTATTGCTATGATTTGGGAAATCGGACATATACACCAACTTTATGTCCTTGTGCATTTGGACAGCATACACACCACAGAAAATACACTTTTCAGACAGATTAATATGTATATTCATTGGTCTTTCTCCACATTTCTACATGCAGAAAGTCTGTGCCCCTCCTGTGCACCAGATCCGCAGTGACAATGGGTGACCAGCAGGAGGAGATGGAGGGCTTGTACGTGCAGCACCAGTATATGTGCAGCGAGTGCCACCAGCTGTTCAACACATTGGAGGAGGTTCTGGTGCATCAGCAGAGCCATACCGGCCCCGATGGCGAGGAAGCGGAGGCGGCGGTGGCCATGGCGGGCAATACAGACCCCCACCAGGCCCTGGTGGCCCAAGGGGAGAGCCAGTACCAGTGCCTGGAGTGCGGAACCCTGCTGAGAAACCCAGAGGAGCTGCTTCTACACCAGGAGCTGCACATGAGAGAGGGGGCGGTGGAGGCAGGCCAGGGTAGGTGGGGTGGGGGGGAGTTCAGAGAGAGGTTTTTGTGAAGGCCCCTGGGAAGCACTAGAAAGCATAAAGGAAGCAGCTGTGAAGGAATAGAGCAAGTGTCTGAGATTGGGCTCCCAGAAGGCCGTGGGTGTGCAGTTTGTGCTTCCCTTAATTACATAATTGGCACAATCAGTATTTTTAGGGTGCTATTTCAGACGAAGAAAGTATATCTGGGGATACACACAATGTACTCGTTGTGTGCTGTGCGTGTCAAATGCTTTGTTTTCAGGTAGTTTTTCAGAAGAACTTGTTCATCAGTTATGATTGTATGTTTATTGTGTTAGAGAGCTTACAGTTGGGGGTTAATGTGCATTTGAAACCCCAGGATGGGAGGCAGCAGTCAGGGGGGTCTGTTGTTCTGGGAAGGAAGTTGAAGATGCAGCAAATTGTAATGAGGTTTGGATGCTTAGCTGAGGCACTCGGAGTGGGAGGAATGTCACGCGCGCTTCCTGTTCCAGAGCTGTGTGAGGTGGTGGCAGCCGGCGAATCAGGAACGGCGCCCCCGCTGTCTGGCCAGATACAGTACCAGTGCCTAGACTGCCTGGCCCTCTTTGATACCCCGGAGGTGTGGCTGGCACACAGACAGACGCACAACAAGAGCGGAGGGCAGAGCAGCAGCACCGACACGGTGAGTGACTCTAAGTGAAAGGCCGCCAGTGCATGGGGAGAGGGCAGCGCCCGGCTGACAGCCACCCCATGCTTTGTCTTCCTCCTCCAGGAGTTCGTGCTGCAGGCTGACGGCACTGTAACGCCGCTGGTCAACGTTCAGAACCTGATCGTCAGTGAGCAGCAAGCCGGGGAAATTCTCACCCTGGCCCAGGTGATGACGCACCCATGTCATCTGCAGAATTTCAGCCTCTGTGTTTGATTCTGTCATGGGACAATTTTGGTGTGAAAGGACTGTGTATCACTGACACTGTTTTCTATCCATGACCCCCCCTCCCCCACCAAGGTTCTGGCAGCCCAGCAGCAGCAGATGTCCTCCCTGCCTACGACACCACCCCGGACTGCTCTTCTCCCGTCCGTGTCCCCCGTGCAAGGCTCGGCAACCCTGCAGCTGCAGATCTGCACAGCCCAGTCTCTGGCAGATGGTTCTGCGGGGCCCCCCCTTCGAAGGGCCAGGCTGCTGCCCCCGCTTCTGCCTAGCCCGTTGGAATCCAATGGCGGGAGGACGGTTGGTGTGGCGACGGTTCCGATCCGGTCGGCGGAGCCTGGAGAGGCGAAGATGGAAGACGAGAGCCAGGTGGTCATCATCCACCCCTACGAGTGCTCCGAGTGCGCCCTGCTCTTCCAAACACCCGAGGACTTCCTACAGCACCAGGGGGAGCACTTCCTGGGCCAGGACAAGGAGAGTGGGGAGGAAGGGTTATTGGAAGGCGAGGGGGATGACGAGGATCAGGCAGAGGATGGGTATCAGCTAGAGGAGAGCGACCAGCCTGGGCAGGAGAGACTCAGAGTGGCAGGCACCCCCCAGAGACGGCAGCAGCTCGGCCTACCGCGCCCCCGTCAGCCTGCTGCCTCTGTGTCCGTACCGCTGCAGTGCACCGAGTGCCAGCGTACCTTCACCTCAGCCAACCGGCTGGCGGCTCACCGCCGCGTCCACGAGCACGGCACGCACGAGTGCCCCGAGTGTGACAAGGTATTCAAGAAGCCGGCATCACTGCAGACACACATGCGCACTCACTCTGGAGAGGCCCGCTACCTCTGCGTGGACTGCGGCCATGGCTTCACTACCGAGATGACGCTGGTCATACACAGGTAGGTCACCGCCGACGAGCGGCTGTATGCTGCATCGGGCAGGCCGGTGGTCCAGCACTGACTCGTCCACCTCCCTTCATAGGAAGACCCACACGGCAGAGCCTCTCCATCGCTGTCAGTTCTGTGCCAAGACTTTCACCAACATGACCAAGTTCCTGTACCACCGGCGAACACATATGGCTCGGGCTCCCTCTACTCCCATTACCATGGTATGGCCTGTTCGGGCATGTGACTGGGAGGACATGCTGGTTCTGTGTGTGTCTGTGTGTGTGATCTCACTGTGCTCTCTTTGCTCGGCAGGTCCCCACAGCCCCCAGACACTTGCCCCTGTCACACCTCAGCGTCTTGCAGAAAGTCAGGGAGCAGGATGAGGTCGCTACCAGGGAGCGGGAGGCTGCGGCCATTGCTGTGTTCACGCCAGTGGAAGCCGAGGCCTACGGCGACCCCTGCGGGGTGGAGACTGGTACTGTGGGCTCCCAGAAGGAGGAAGGAGCCACTGCGGCCGGGGAGGAGAACGGGCTGGAGCCAGAGCCCGCCCCGGATCAAGTTCGGGGAGCACAGGGCAGCGAGATGTCTTGCCCCATCGACACGGCCGATGTCCTGGCGGGGGACTCGCAGCCCGACTCTTCTGGACCACCAGCGACCCTGTCCCAAGCCTCCGAGTTCCCATGCCCGTCCTGCGGCAAGGCGTTCCCCTCGCAGCTGCGGCTGGTGCGTCACCGGCGCACAGTGCATGTGGCTGAGCGCCGCTTCAAGTGTGGCGTGTGTGGCAAGCCCTTCAAGAAGCGCATCCATGTGCGCAACCACCTGCGGACGCACACAGGCGAGCGGCCCTTCCAGTGCAGTGACTGCGGCAAGACCTTCTCATCCCTGGCCAACCTGTCGCGGCACGGCCTGACGCACTCAGGCCTACGGCCATACCGCTGCGACATCTGCCACAAGGCCTTCACGCAGTCCTCCAACCTGCGGCAGCACCGCCTGCTGCACTCCAACCCCGCCCCCTGTCCCTGCCCCGACTGCCCTGCCACCTTCCTGCGCCCAGCCAAGCTGGCCGCCCACCGCTACACCCAGCACCCGGGGGCCCCCGCGCCATACCCCTGCCCGCACTGCCCCTCGGGCTTCCTGCGTAAGCGCCAGCGGGATCGCCATTGCCTTGAGGTGCACCCTCACCTGGCTCACGCTGACACTCCCCCCGACTCCCTCCCCATGCCCACCAGCCAGCCTCCACCAGGAGGTGACTCCCACCTTCCCGGTTTGGAGCTGGCGGAGGGAGGCGACACCTCCAACGGGGCCAGCATTCCTGCTCCACCAGATACCCCAGCCCCGGTTTGCCGTGGGGGTTTGGACTGCACTGTGTGCGGGAAGCGCCTAAACTCGGCGGCCAACCTGCGGCTGCATCAGCTGAGCCACACTTCCGGGCGTCGCCGCACAACCTCGGCTGCTGGCCGTGCCAAAGGCCACCAGTGTCCCGTGTGCGGAAAGCTGTTTGTGTCCTCATCCGGAGTGGTGCTGCACCAGCGAGTGCACACTGGCGAGCGGCCCTTCCCCTGCGCGCAGTGTGGCAAGTGCTTCCGGCAGAGCACCCACCTGCGGGAGCACCTGCGCACCCACTCGGGCGAGCGGCCCTTCCGCTGCGAGCTCTGCGACAAGAGCTTTGTGCAGAGTATGCACCTGGCCGAGCACCGGCGCACGCATACCGGCGAGCGGCCGCACGTCTGCCTCGTCTGTGGCAAGGCCTTCCGGACGTTCTCCAACCTGCGCAACCACCGCAAGACCCACGCCCGCAACCTGCCGGAGAATGGGCCACAGGCCGCCAGCACCGCTGGCGAAGGGGCAGCGGCGGTAGTGTTAGATGCTTCATCAGTGGACCTTGCAGCTGCAGTACCCGGAATCTGTCCGCAGGGGGAGCCTCAGGTTATCCAGATACAGACACAGCAGCTGCAGCAGGTAAGGATGGACGTTCACTAGCCTAAGTGTAACCAGAGGCTGTGAGAAGAGAGCTTCATATCTCCTGTCTCCTCCACAGACCCAGAACACCCCCACCATCATGTGTAATGAGTTTGGGGAGACGATCGCCATCATCGAGACCAGCGAAGGAGGGGCGCTGCCCTTGGCGGAGGCCATCGAAATCTACCACACGGCCCTGGAGAACAGCCTGGGTATGGACTCCATAACGGTGGACAGCCTACAGCTGCTCTGAGGGCTGCAGTCGACCAGTCCCATGGGAGATGGGGGCTAGTAAAATAAAATGAAAGAAATAAAAACAACTAAAAAACGTAGTCAAAAGTGACTGAAATGTGTGTATAGGGCGTTGGTCTAGCAATCATGTGATAAGCCTCATAACAGAGCATAATGCACTGCAGAAGTGAGCTGTACACACTGAGCTGTTGTACACACACACGCTGTAAAGACCAGCATGCGGCGGGGGAGGGGGGTGGGGAGGGCTGGGCCAAGGGCTCTGCTTCCCATGTGGTCTATGCATCACTCTTTACAGCTTGTACATTTTTTTTTTCTTTTTTGTAAATGTGATTTTTACTTCAGCTGTTAAATTGAATCTCATTTCACTGTAAATAAACATGACAGTGCTGTTTGATACCAAGCTGCAGTCCTGGTCCTCTCTCGCTGCCTGGCCTCCGAATCCAAGCAGAACATGAACCCGGAACATTGCAGCACTTTGGGGGGTGCGGACAGAGCAGCCTGGGAGGGCAGCAGTGCACTGATGGTCTGGATGTCTTACCTTTACAGCTCATTTAAGATGTGTATCCAGCCGCACAGATAGTAAGAGGCTTGGACTGAACCATTGCTGAACAAGTAAGACCAAGCTATATACAAGCAGGGATGAGATACATTCCCCAAGTCTGTCCGTAGGCAAGTCGGAACAGCTAACTATGGTTCTTATTTAGTGTTAGTCAGAAACATCAAAAACATCTTAAAATGAATAGTACAGCACATAATGATACAGAAATAATAAAAGTAACTGCATACAGTACTGTACTGTGCCTCAAGCTGACAAACCGCTGATCCTGTGCAATGTTTTCATGAGTGTCACAAAGTAGTGCCTGCATTCATTATTATAAACCATTGTGATTTGTATTATAGCATTTATGGCAGTGCATTCGCAAGTGCGACTTGTAAGTCTGACGTTATTCGTCCATGGGACTGCCTGTATTTTCAGACAGCTGCATGACAGTTGGGAATTTGGGGTGATTGCTGAGCCCAGCCCTTCAGGAGTATGAACAGCGCCTCTTGATGGAGTGAGGTGGCTGTGATGCTGCCAAACTCCACTGGTGTGTCATAGGTTGTGAGGTGATTAGCTCCTACCTCCCGTCTTTACATCATTGCTTCTGTACCGTATGGTGCCTGGATGTCTTAATTCAAAATCTTCTTAAGTAGGTAGCCCTATTGCCTCACAGCTCCAGGGTTGGGGGTTCGAATCCCTATGTGTGTGTGGGTTGCATGCTGTCCTTGTACTGAACAGGTTTCCTTTCACAGTCAAAATATATGCAGCTGTGAATGCTTGTGAATTGGCCGAGTGCATGTTAGTATGTGCCCTGTGATGGACTGGTGTCCTCTGCCCTATGCTTCCTGGGATAGTCTCTCCGTCCCTGTAGTGGGTAAGAGATGATGGATGGGTGGAAAATAGACTCACATGACAGTTATGCAAAGATGTTTGAAGTACGTGTAGGAAAGGTTTCCTTCCACAATAAATCCTCCATGTACAAAGTTGATAGCTCAGAATTCAGAAAGTTGTGTCTGGATAAATTCGTAGTTGTTCTAACTGCATCATTGCTGTTCTTGGGATACAGTTGGGGTACCATCAGGGTGGGCACTGTTCACATGCTTCGATAGGAGAACGGTAGTCACTGTCTGTGTCTCACAAACAAACAAGCAGCCAAGGTGCTGTGTTAAATCTTTATTGTCATTTTATGCTGCTTTCTATGTAAGAAATATTGCACATGGTCAACATGCCCATTTAGAAACCAAGACCCCTTTTATCATCATAACTGATGATCAAGGAGCAAACACACATGTGTGCAGCAGCCATGATCAATCACATTTTATTCCAGATTTCCACACAAGAAAGAAGCCAACGGATCTTCATTTTCATCTTGTCCTATGGACATATTTTTCCCATAGTTCTTCTCTTCAGTCCTTATAAAGCGCTATTAAATCCTGACCGTAATAAGCCGCTATCTTACGGCTACTTTGATTACTGAAAGAAACCAACTAAAAAGTTATTAATATAGACTTTGTATATTTCCTCAGTAAAACAAGGAGTAACACAACTGTTAATAGTCATAGTCATTTATTTTTTTTTTATTTTACAGTTTTATTTTCGGTAACGGCGTTTTTAATATTCAATTATGCATTTTTTTCTGGATTTTTATAACGAGTCCCGTGACTCTACAGTAAATATGTACAACACAACCCGTTCCTGCACAAGGGACAGCCAAATACCAAGCCAGGCTCCCTGCCCATAAACACTCATGCCACACTCGCCCACAGGAGGGCGTGGGACAGAGCAATAAAGTGACAAGACGAACGAGGAGGGGGACAGCGATGGCAGCACAGGGGCGGGGGGCGGGGGTCACGAGGTTCGCCAAGAATATCAAAATAATCTTATGTTTTTTAAGCAGTTACTCCCCTCCAAACGCCACGCACTGTAAGGAGAAGGGGAGAATTTAAAGAGGGAAGACAAAGGAGGAGTGAGAGAGGAGAGTGGCTGTCCTTCATGCATGCTCTCCAAAACACAAACAAAGGATAAGATGAGAAAACAAAACAGCAGTGAGGGCTAATTCTGTGGGTAATACCAATCCACAATAACAGTAAGAACAATAATAATAATAATAATAATAATAATAATATAATGAACTTGAGAATCACGTGAGTCAATTTAAAATCAAGTTTATATTCCTTTAAAAAGTTAAAACACTCTGCTTGCCTTCAGGGGAAATAAGTCCTTCCTCTTCTTCATCCCTCTGTTAGGTTTGTTTAGATTTGAGTTCAATTTAATCTTAGTCACTGCCGGGCTGAACAGTCAGGGCCCGAGAGCGGCGTTCACGGATCCCCCGCTTCCTTCATGGCCGTCCAATTTGGCCAATCACAGGAAGGCAGAAACTCCGAGCTCCCCCCGGAGCTCTCAAGTAACTGGCCCTGATTGCCTGCTACTGTGGAGTGGGAGGAGCTAGTACATTTATTTAAAGAGGCGGAGCCAAATGGAACAAGGAGTATGTGTGGTTCTCCATTCATCAATGTGATCTCCAGTCAATGGGGCTCAGTCTTTCAATGTCCTGCAGAGCTAAATGAGCCAGTGACAGGTGGAAGAACTAGACCCCACCCCCTTTAGTAACCAAATAACTACTTTCCTCTCACCCTCATTTAAAAAAAATAAAAATGAATGACTGCCTGTAAAAAGACTGAATGAAGCCACGCTGGTCCAGGACCCCGCATGTGTCCTGTATAGTGCCACGTGCCCGGCCAGGCCAGGCCGGACTGTGCTAGCAGTGGCAACTCGTCCATTCTGCGTCTCCGTATTTCAGCCGGCAGTGAGAAGAGGCCTGTGCTGCGCATAAAGAGTCTCTGAGGAAAAGAAACCCAGTGTGTTCACTTCCGAAAACCTCATCCGTCTCCCTTCACGCGACGCCCTTCCAAAACAACCCACCCCCACCCCCCGCCGCTGCTTTCTGAGCTGGCACTCTGGGCCGACGAGACAGGCAGGTCCAGGCACAGGTGGAAAGCTAGGCTTTTTTGGGGGGTGGGGGGGGTGCACGGGGCCAGCAGCCATCCATCAACCTGTCCCACCTCCTGCCGGGCTCATCTGCTAGACTCCTGCGACTCGCTGGCGCCCCCACGGTGCTCTCCAGGGCTGTGTGCTCTCTCCAATGCTGCTTCCTTCTCTGACAGCTCCACCCCTACCCCTCCTTCGGCTGACGGGCCGCCAGAGGGTCCTGGGAGGGAGACCAGGTCCGAAATCCCACCGGCAGCTCCAAGCCCCGAGCAGCCGGGTTCGGAGGGCACTGCCGTCTGCATGATCTTCTGCCGGACCTCGCGGATCTTCAATTGCAGGCACACCTTGGTGGGGAAGATCTCCACATAGCGGGCCTGGAAGGCGGCTGTGGCCTGAGCTGCATTTGGGGGGGGGGGGGGGTGAGAAACATTAGCATCAGAAGCAGTAGCACAGCGACTCGGGGAGAGAGACTGAGGGGAGGGGAGCCCACCTGTGGGGAAGAAGCCATGTTCCTGAAAGAGCTGCATGACCAACGCCCGTCTCTGGTCCAGGGTCCGGCGCAGGGATGAGTATGGCACCTTGTCAAACTCCAGCTCCCCCAGGATGTCCTCGCCGTCAGTTCCTGTGTCAGCAGACGGGGCCATCAGGAGAGCCCATGGGGAGCAAGCCCCACCCACCCAGCAGGGCTGCAGGGGACACTCACCAGGCCGCTCAAAGGTGAAGATGTCACCCTCGCACTTGGCAGCACTTTTGGGTGTGTTGGGCTCCGAGCTGCAGCTGGACCGGCGCCGGCTCTTCCTCTTGGGCGAGACAGGATCCTCTGTGGACGAGTCCAGGTCTGCGGGCGGCACGGCGTGGCAGGAGAGTTACAGCCACGACGGCTCTGACTGACACGTCTCTGAGTTACTGCCTTCCATTGACACCAGCCTCTGCTGTGTCCTTCAGTCCTCCCTCTACCGTATTACATTCCTATCTCACTCACTCTCTCGCTCACCCTCTTCCTTCCTCCCTCGCTCGCTTACCGGTGGAGTTCTTCCTCTTCCTGCGGTAGCTGCCCAAGATGGCACGCGGCGAGGTAGCCAGGCTCTGCAGCGTGGGGGATGGTAGCACCTCTTCCGGTCGGAACTCCGGCAGCTCGGCAAAGCGCTCCTCGAACGCCACCTCTGACAGGACCCTGGACAAAGCGCAGCGAGCTTTAGGGGGCGCCATTCTATCACCTTCGGGTCCAGCCTAACCACATATGCCGCTGCAATCTGCTGGATAAAACATCTTTTAACTGCTTATCTAGAACTGGGGCACAGAGAGTCTTGGGCTGATCCAGGGCAGCACGGGCAGAGGATGGCAGGCCTCCACAGGGCAGACAAGCTCTCAAACACTCCCAAACCCTGGAGGGCAAGAGTGCGGCTATGGGGTGGATATTTAAGAACTAATCAGCTGAAGGCGCACAGCACCAGGAGCCCTTGATGACTGTAGCTCCTGCAGAGATGCTAATCAAAGGGTCAGAGCTACACCATTTAAACCCTTAATGCAGGGCCATACCAGCCTTCAAAGTAAGACGCCAGAGCTGGCAGGCGGACAGGGACTGGGGGGCAGGGGCTGATGCTAATGAGATCCAATCGGGAGTACAAATCTGGTCATGTGGCCACCGCTGCCAGGGAACAAAGTCCCTTTTGTTAGGCTCTTTGAAGTAATTACTAGTGAAATGATTTCTTTCATAGACAAAGCGGGTTTTTTTTCAACTGAAGTCTGCCGAAAAAAAAGAAAAGAGGATCATTTCATAATTCATAGACTTGGCTTTTATCAGTAGTACGTTATCTGTCGCTGCACACTTTCAGGGGGGCTGGGAGTTTGCAGCACAGAGAGTCCGGAGTGCCTTTGCTCACACCGGGGGTGACTGACACTGCGATACAGCGAGCTCACATGACCACTGGAACCCATCTCTCACTGCGCATTCACCCTGTACAGGGCTGCCATTCGGTAAGGAGACAGATCCCCAGCTGCCCAGTCTGAGTCTGAGCTCAGTCGACGTTCCTGTTGTGACTCAGCCAATCCCGGCTAAGATGTGATCACTATGTCCCCCCACTCACTTGTCCACAGAGTCAAAGGTCTTCTTCAGTGGTGGAGGGCGAGCCTTAACCTTCTTGGGAGGGGGAGCATCTTTGTCGCTCTGTGGAGGTGGCAGTGGGGGGTCAGGACCGGGCGGAGGGGGCAAAGGAGAGGATGGGAGGGAATCCCTCCATCCAGCCTGTGCAGGAGAGAGAGACAGAGAGAATGTATGAGAGCAAGGGAGCGATAAGCAGCTCTGCTGTAACAGCAACACTTCATATCACTTTGCTGTGAAGTGCTTACATGCGCCTTTGTGATGCTGTAGCACTCGTACACACTCACGCCCACACAGACACACACTCACGCCCACACAGACACACACTCACGCCCACACAGACACACACTCACGCCCACACAGACACACACTCACGCCCACACAGACACACACAGACACACACAGACACACACTCACACAGACACACACAGACGCCCACACAGACACACACTCACGCCCACACAGACACACACAGACGCCCACACAGACACATACACACAGTCACATACACACGCACGCAGACACATACACACGCACACACAGTCACATACACACGCACGCATGCACGCCCACAGTCACATACACACGCACGCAGACACATACACACGCACACACGAATATGCACACCAGGGTCAGATATATAAAATTTTGCATGTGGTGGCATGAAAATTTTAAAGGGTTGCAAACTGAAAACATTCTTTCAGATGCTCAAGTATATATGTATGATCTATACTATTTTTATTAGATCCCATCCCCAGTTGCATGAATATGTCCCGTCCTGCTCCTGTGGCTCGCTTTAGTTCAGCCTTATAGCCTACGATTCCGACCCGAACATACAAACAATTTTTTTACTCATTTGGTACATGAAAGTATAAGTGAGTTTGACAACTCAATATTATCAACCAATAATAACCTGCAACCGAATTTAAATGACATTGTTTTTTAGATATCACCCTGCCCTGTGGAAAAAGCAGAGAACTGATGAGATTTACTAATTCGTATACTGTTGATTCATGTAAACTATATTTACATAATTAGAAATTAATATTTTAATGTTACCCATCTAACAGTTGCTACATTGTAGTTTGAAGCGAATGCCCTGCCTATACTAAAAGATAGAGCTAAAGTGGAACAAACCATCATTTATTGGAGGGGCAGCCTACCTAGTATTTTGAGCTTGGGAGAACTTAATTATTAATTGTTTAATTTATATAATAGTTACACCACTCAAAACTAACGTGGCAACCAAAGGAAGGGGTGGTAGCACACACACAGGTCCCCACAACTTCAAAGTAACATTTGGTCCCCACAATGTAATATAAACCTAAACACACACACACACAATCACCTCACCCCTGTTACTAACATGAACAGCGATACTACACAATCACAGCAGGGTAGCTAATGCACATTCTTTTCACAAAGTAAACACCTGGTCCCTTGTTTTAATCCACAGTTATTTTGTGAAATTAACAAATGATGTTAAAATAACAGGCCACACAAAGGGAATGGCCCGAGGCCCCCAACAGCGACCACTGTGTCTGCCTGCCTTCCACGTTTGTGCCACATCCACATCACCAGTTGCGTCTCACCTCCTTGGGACCTCCCTCCTTGCCACGGCTAGGAGCGCTGTCCCCCACCCCGTGGCCCTCCGGGGGCCCGTCTGAAGGTCCCTCTTCTGGAGGGTGGGGTGCAGGAGAGCCGACGTCCCCAAGCCGCTCCATCTCGAATGGGAATCGGCTGCTCCCCCCACTAACGCTCTCCTTCTCTCTCTCCCTCTCGCGCTCCTTCTCCCTCTCTCTATCTCTCTCCTTCCCCCGCCCCCCTCCTTCATAGCTCCCCACAGGGATACTAGCGACTGCAGCTTTCACTTTCTGAGGGGTCCTTGTCTGAACAGAGGGTAATTTGGGGGTGCCCGGAGCACTGCCTGCTGGAGAATCAACAAAATGAAATTTCAGTTAAACAATCAGCAGGAATAAATAAGGTAAGAAAAAAAATAACCAAAGTGAACCAAGTAAGGCCTCTTACCAGTATGCAAGGGCACGGAGGGGCTGCTAGCCCGTAGGGACGCTCCTGAACCACTAGAGGTCTGTACTGTGCTTCCGCTTAGCTTGCTGGAGGACTGAGAGTGAGGCTGTCTCTCCAGGGGTGAGTGCGCCTGTGCGCGTGGCGGCCTGTCCAGCTGCGAGTACACCTGCACATCGGTGTGCCTATCCGGCTGCGGGTGGCCCTGCCTCTCCGCCCCGGCGTGCGCCCCTGTCCTGTCGGCGTGGGGCTGCGTGTGCTTAGGCAGGATGTGCGGGGAGAGGGTGGAGGGGCTGGACACAGTGTACACCACGCTGGGGGGCACTGCCGCCACGGACACCACCCCTGTTGCCAGGGTGACGCTGGGTGGAGGGTAAATGGCAGTAACTATCTGCCCCCCACCCCCAGAGGCAGGGGCTGGCAGCGACGAAATCGGGGGGCAGTTTGGAGACTGAGCAGAAGCCAAAAGTGGTGTTTGACCTGGGATAGGAGAGGGGGAGGGACAGAGAGACCACTGATGATGAAGGTCTTATAGACTAATACGAAACATGCAGCTTAACACTCAGCCACTTTAACACTCACTACGCTAATCTAAAGTCAATCAGTTCACCATAACACTCACTAGGCTCACATTAGTGCTCAGTCAGTTCACCTTAACCAAATAACTGGGCTCCTACTGACCCGTTATACTGACCTGCTATAAGGGGCTGTACCAGGGTTTGACCTGGGGGCGCTATGGCAGTGAACCCCAATGTCGCCAGCGATGGGGGTACATAGGCCGACCCGGGAGGGGGAGGGCCCTGGTGTAGGGAGGAACCAGTTGTTGTGGAAACCAAGGGTAAAGAGGCAGGACCCCCAGGAGTGGACTGAACATAGGTGATCCTACACAGGAAGAGGAGCAAAGAGAGATAAACCCATCATGACAGATTAGTGGCTGTAGCACCCAAAAAAATGTCTGTACAACCTGAAGCAAAGGGGGCGGCGGAGTGACGTGGGCACCTTGTGGCCGGGGGTGGCAGCAACACAGTCTGAGAGGGGGCGGAGCCTGGAGTCATCATTGTGGCCGTCCCCATGGAAACGGGAAAGGGGCTACCAGGATGCACTGCCCCCCCAGATGGGAGCTGTGACTGAACGACAGGCATCGGAGCGATCTGGATAATCTGTACGGGCGGGGTGAGGGGAGGGTTACAAAGGGATTACCCGCTTCCTGCTCCCTCAGGTAGCACGGCACGGTCCTGGCAGAGCCCACACTCCCCAATGGCGGCTGCTCACCTTGCTCCCGTGCTGGGAGCCGTTCTGCACAGGCACAGGCACCGTTGGCGTCACCAGGGGAAAGGGCTGGCTGGGGGCCGGCGCCGCCCGCACCGTTGCCATGGGGACCAGCATCTTGCCCTGTGTTTGCACTGCGGCCAGAGAGGGCGACAGCGGGCGGAAGCTCAGTACCCAGCGCGAACGTCAGGCCGCGTAGTGGCTTTGGACACATGGGGTTGCCCGTCACCCACAATGCCTCCTCGACTTCCCTCCAGGACGGCGTTAAGTTTAGCAGCTAACAGACCCCCAACACACAGATCCTGCGATCCTGGCGGGAGCAGATTTTCTAGCACTTACTAAACAGTCAATAAGGAACAAGCACAAGCAGGAAACGCAACAGCACCTAAACTGGGGTATAATTACTTTTAGGCATTTCACAGTTGCTCTAGAAACAACAGCGCAACTATACTGAGCACCCACAACTATCCCCTCACCTCCGGTTCCAGGGCTGACCACTCCCACTGCTGGACTTGGGGCATATCCTGCCACCTGCCCCGCCCCAGACTGCTTCCCATTGGCCAAGGAGACATTTGCGGGAGGGGCCGAGGGCAGGGTGAAGACACTGCTTTGCTGGTTTGGCTGCTGAGGGGAGGGGCTCTTGGGGTTGGTGCTGGCAGGCAGGGTGGGCAGAATATACTGCACTTGCGTGATGGCCTTGCTCCCACACGTGGGGGCCAGCGGAGGAGCAGGGAGGAACTGGGGCTGAAGCAAGGAGAGGGGCAGGGGGCCATTATTATGGCCGTGAGCGGGGGCAGGCAGGGGTTGAGGTGGCGGCTGGGAAGGGGCAATGAGCTGGGCAGGGAATGTGCTTCCCAGAACCAGATTGGTGACTAGCCCTCCTGGCCCGCCCCCCGACGTCCCTGTGACTACAGGGTTAGGGGAGGATGCAGAGTAGTACCCACCCCCTCCGGCTGCCCCGCCTCCTCCTCCAGCTCCTGCTCCTATCAGCAGCTGGGTCTGTGTCGGGGTGGGTTTCCTGTCGGGGGGCAGGGGGCTGGAGGCGGCCCCTCCTTCGCGGGGCTTGCTGGCGATGGGGACAGGTGTGCTGACCACGGGCCGCACCACGTTGGTCACAACCGTGTTGGCCATTCGAACTGCACCCAGACCCCCTGCCAGCGGGGACAGGCCCAGGGGGGCTGCAGGGGACAGGGGAGGAGCTATGGCCCCAGAACTGGCGATGACTGACTGGTTGGAGGAGGATGGTGCCTGGGAGGGAGCCACTCCGCCATCGGCCACTCCAATGCCCTCCTTGGGCCCCCCGCCGCCATCGCCCATGCCCCCTCCCCCGCCACTCTCCATCCCCCGTTTCCTCTTGCGCTCAGAGCCACTGCCCCCGGTGTCCATGTAGCGCTTGATGGGGTAAGAGGAGAGTGACGCGCTCCTGCCTAGTGAGGAGGCTGATGGGGACGAGGAGGAGGAGCAGATGACTGGGGCGAAGACGCGCTGCTACAGGGAGAGAGAAAGAGACATGTTGGACCACAGGCCACCAAGGGACCATTGCCCTGCCACCCAGTGTACCCCCCCCCCCTACTACCTTGCGGTCTGCCTCGTCCCCAGAGCCGTTCTCACTGTCGCTGTCGGTCACCCTCTCTTTACACTTCAGGTCAATAGAGCTTCCTGGGTAGGAGTCCTCTGAGGGCAACAGGGTGCAGAGTTTAGGAAGGGGGGGCAGGGGCCGGGGTCACCTGTGCAGCATGGAGCCCCACGTACCAATGACATCGTCGTCGCCTTCTTCCTCACAGATCACCATGCGCTCCTCGTCGCTGGTCATGTCCTCGCTGACCTCGCGGTGGGACCGCGTATGGACCGGGGTGCGACCCGAGAACTGCCCGCTCCCATCCCCGCACATCTGGAAGGTATGGGAGATGGTTAGAGGTGGGCAGAAGGCATACGCTGGCTCACCTGCACGGGAGGGTGCCCTCGTACCTGTGCCAGTTCGGCCAGCGCCTGTGTGTTCCCCCTCTCACTGCGCTCCAGGCTGTGCACAGCACTCTGGGAGAATGCCCGGGGGCGGGGAAGCTGTCCCACAGGCCCCTCCCCCAGGTTCCTCTCAGCCACACCCACCAGACCAGGCCCCACCCCCTTCAAGTCTACCCCAAGGGAGACGGATGGAGGTTCTATTACGGTAGAGAGAGGAGGAAGGATGCCTTAAAATAACAGTTATAAAAAGACACTGCTCAAAACACACTGGACCTCTTGCCATGACAGAAGCCCTCGCACCTGTGGTCTCCGACATGCTCCTCTCCCGCACATCCTTGCCTCCAGGAACACCACGACCCTCGGAGCTTGACTTCTTGCGGTCCTTATTGCACCACTTCCAGTCTGGGTGTGCCTTGAAATGGGCCTCCTTCACCTGAGATGGGACATGGGGGCCAAGGAAGGAGAGGTGGAGGGAGAGAAAGACCATGGATGACAAAGGCATTCCTATAGGCTCTCCTTACTGTACAGGTATTAAAACAACAGGCTGTATTCCCTGGTGAGTAAATGTAAGCTCTGCCAGAAAAAGTTACACACTGCCTTCATACCGATATGCTAATATTACTACAGAGCAGCAGTGAAGCTAAATTTACATGATTATCTATTACATCACAATACTACAAATACACACATTAGAAGTTTATGATGTGAAAGTTTATCAGGAAGCACCACAGAGGAATCCTGCACCCCACAGCTGATCCCTGGGCCTCCTTACACTACAGGAAACCACAAAGCCTCCGGCTGCAGATGGTGGAAAGAACTCCCATCTAAGGTCTCAATGCTGCCTTTCACTCCACTATGATAACAAGCTGCATGGTATTTAACGAGCCAATTAGCCTCCGCTTAACCCAGACAGGGACTCCAGGAGCCCATACCTGGAAGGCGAGGTCATGGTACTTCTGCTTCTCCTTGGGGCCCAGTGCGTACCACCACTCCCCCAGGATCTTGCTGACTGTGCGATTGTCCTGATTAGGGTGCCGCTGGTGCACCAAAGCCCGATGCCTCTTACTGAAGATCATGAAGGCGTTCATCGGCCGCCGGATGTGGTCCTTCTCTCTCTGGGGGGATGGGAGTTTGGACAGTTGGCAAAATGTAGCATGGGGGAGGCCTGACATACCCATCTCAACAGGGAAGGACCAAGTCTAGACCACCAAGGAAGGACTGGTGCGGGGGGTGGGGAAGGTGAAGAACAGGCCTGCCAAACTGGAGACCCCTACAAACCTTGCCAGGGCTGTTCTTGTCACTGTCCTTGGGCAGGGCACTGAGGGACTGGGTGCGTCTCTTGACCGGGGACACCGACAGGGGGGTTTCCGGGACAACACCCGGGAAGAACCTGGAACGGCGGAGAGACAAAACAGCATGTCAGATGGCAGCTTGGACTGGGGCCTTGCCAAAGGATGGCGAAGACGAACCCCAAGAGATGGTGACCCACAGCCTGTCCCTAGGAGGCTCAAGGCACATGACTGGATGACAATGAAACCTACATTAAGGATGCAGATGGGCTTTCTAAGCTACAGACTAGATGTAACTTCCTTAAATATAGGAAGCATGAATTGGTCATGCTTATTCGGAAGGCTGATCTGCAAATACAGGTGAAGTTCCCCTGAAAGGTAAAAAGACATACGGGTCATCCACATCGCTCTCTGTCTCGCTGTCGCCCCTCTCTCGTTCCGTTTCCCTCTCTCGCTCCTTCTCCCTCTCTGGAGGTGGTTCCTCGGCAGGTGGAGTGGGTCGTGGTGGGGGTCCTCTCTCCTGGGTCGAGGTTGCCACGTTCCCATCGCTTACCAACACCGTGCTACACTGCAATTCTGACATAGGAAGACAGGGCTCTCTTACTTATGGAGCTTTTCCACTGACATACAGGAACCAGGCTGTACCCAAGCTGTAGCGTGAAAAGACACTAGTTACAGCGCGGCTCCAGCCAACTTTGCTTTTCCACTACAGAAAGTTCGGCTCAGTAAAGGAGTTGCCAGGTTTGGAGAGCGACAGTGATGTAAAACTAAAGAAACTTCGGTGTGTAGCCTGTCACTCTCTGACGACAGTTATAGATAATTTTGAGTTTGCGATTATATCGGCTTGGAAGAGTTCGCACACGTAAATGTTAGCAGTTTTTTAGCCGGTTAGGCGGTCGTAGATAAGTTATATACACGCAAATAAAACCACAAGGAAATTCATTGTAAACAAAACACGGCAAATATTTTGGGGCGCTGGAGAATCGCGATCAAATGCTAGTCCGTCACTTCCGGTAAGTGCAAAACGTTAGTGTTCCATTTATGACAGCACTTACCCATGGTAGTGTGCACTACAGGAGGAAGTGCGCACTACGCACTACATCTCAGTGCACTGAGGCAAGTGCGCGATTTCGGACACACCCACGGTGTACATCATGATTTACTGTGCTAATATCCACTAGCATGTCTGTGGGAATGGCTGTCTTATGTCAGCATCGAACTCTAGCAGCATTAGCATTAACTTGCGTAAATTTGCATTACGAATCCGTTCCATTCAGCTGTTCTCTAGTACTTTTTAAGTAGGAGGTTGGAAATTTTCAAGTTCAGAGTTACCCGGAATGCATCAGTACATTGCGATGTGTGATACCCCTAATAATGAATAATATATAGAATATCCAGTTTTTTCCTTCACAGAATCCATGCATATTGACATAGATCACCAATATCTCTGTGCAGTTCCAACAATCAGATGGTGGTGACACAACCAGCACGGTTTAGCCACAATCTCAGCCCTGCTAGTGAGCAGGAACATGTCAGCATGAGTATGGTCGGGTACGGCTCACATAACAATATCTTTGTGGTACAGCTCAGTTCTTGGTGGCAGTGGAAAAATGCCACTGTATATGAAAAGTGCAACAAGACCTAAAACACTGACCTAAGACCTGAAATTAGGAAGAAAGGTTACAGTAAATGTATCAGCAGGAGCAAAGTTGGATAGTTTTCCATCAATGTGACCCCAAGGAGTAGTATGCACCTTTAAAGCCTATACATCTTCACAGCTATGGTTATCCTGCACATATTAGATCTTACCTTTATTCTGATTGGCTGTTTGAGGGTGGTTGACAGGCTGCTGGCCCTCAGCAGGCTGAGATGAGGAATCTGACTGGCTGGGTGCCACAAAAGGGACCAATGAGTGCCAAGGAAATACCGGCACTGACCGGGGCTCCACATTGGTCCATACTGCAGGATAAAAAGATTTCATCATTTCAAACAATAAAATTACAACAAAGTCACAAAGACTAATGAACAATGCAGTCTAAGCATGTGAAGCACAATTTTTGAAATGATTATACATATATACATAATCATAAACATCAGTGTCAGGATTTCAGATATTTTATTTGCCGTTTTCACATTTAAATGGCAACCTCTGATATGCCTCTTCTGTGCCATTATGAAGCCCCAACTGGATATAGCTTAGGAGTGTCTTGTGTTATAAATCCATCGCACCCCTTTCCAGCACCTTTTTGTTTGTATCTCAGTTAATTATAAAGTTTAAGCAAATCTACTGTTTAAATGACATTTCTAAAGGTTCAATAAATTAATGATATTTCAATGAGTAACAGTGTTAAATATTCATGATCTCAATACTGACCAAAATACTCGTGATTTTAGGAGCAGCCCTAGCTAGTTTACTGTACATGAATTAATATCCCATGCTTTTCAGTTGAGGTGAATCTGGGAAACGAAGGTGTCTGTGCAACTTTTTCTATTTAGGTATAGTGATGTTTATATCATATGGTATTTGGATACTATGTCATGAGACTGATTAATGGCCAATCACTAGCTAGGTTAGCTCCGCAAAAGTTGTTTATTTCTGAACTATGTCACCGTCTTGAGATCAACAACTCAGTCCAAGCTACTAATTATAAAAGAAAAAGAAATGATCCAGCCTGGCCCATCGTTATTGAGTATAGCGCAAAGTGGGATCACATCCATCTCCCTTTACTTAACGTGGGCACTGAGCTTTTATTCCCTGTGCGCGTTAATGGTCAAGAGGCTGTGATCATATTATTCAAAGTTAACTTCACACAGCAGTAGGCGTAACCAAATACTGAACCCAAGCGTGCAGTATCTCATTAGATTCGTGCCTCACCATTTTTAAATTAGATCGTTTTAAACGTTACATGGATGTGCCACTTAGCTACATCTTTTCATCTATGGCTCAACTCCGTCGCTCAAAGAACGTGGCCAAAGAGGTTCTACGCAAATCTGCCACTTGTAGATTAAATAAGAAAAGCAAAGTAGTCTTACAGAAGCGTCTGACCCAGGTCAACCACAGTAAATTACTAGCCAGTGTAGGTAAGGTTTGGAAGCATTACTAACCGAACATACTCAAGCCCTGTCGGAGATACTGAGGACTGTCTGACGAAAACATGGTTCATAGAAAAAGTTCTTTTCAGCAAATTACACTTTTGTATGTTTTACAATTCTAAAATAACGTTAAAAGGTAGTAAAAATGATGTCCATTTTAATAGGCAGGATCAAAAAATTTAAAAAGGCTCCCAAACATCAGCACTCCAAGAAACATTTATCCCATGTGACAGTCTTGAATGGATGAGCGCTCCATCGGTGGAAGTACATGATTGTTATAATCGACCTCTCCTTAAATCTCAACAAAACTGGTTACTGGCTTCTCAGTTCCAAAAATGAATGATGATAACGAAACAGAAACCGTCGGGGCGGCGTGCCGTGCAGTCCGTCGCCGGCGTCACATGCGTGTCGGTCTGCCTGGCTCCAAATGGTGTCGTCACTGATCATTCACCAAATGCAGCGTTAGCTGGCAGCTCGTTAGCAGCTGGTATTTCAAAAGCGTCGGTCCAAATCCACCAACAGCACGCCAACTTTCAGGGTGTGGAAGTGGACCCAGTTCCGCACTGACGCTGGTCGAGCTTGCAGCTCCCTCTGTCCGCCCCTAATAGCCTTAAATCACCTAATGTGACCTTCGTTTGCGTCGACTTGTGCACTTTCTGTTCCTGTCTTCCTGTGTGTTTACATTAACGGATCGATGCCTTTACAGGCTGGTCGATGTAGGCCATCCCCCCATCCTCGGCGTCGCGTACTTACTTCGCCTCAGCAGAGACGCATCGCACTGGCTAGATTTAAATTGACACATTGGCTGCTTACTCCATAATACAACGAAATGTTTGCTGAAGCGCAAGTATTTAAAGGTTACACGAATCAGAGAAAGCGATATTTCATATGAAATTGCATATGGATGAAGCCTCTTTGGTTGTTTCTGGCTTAATTGCTAGCAAGCCAACTCATTTTTGGCGACGCAGATTCCAGCGCTTAACGACATCAACCCAGTTTTGTAACAAAAGAAAAGGCACTGGGCTTTTCTTCCTGTATTCTGTTCCACCCTCGAAGTAGCAGGTTAATGATCGCAACTGTTCAGCGGCTACATGGAAAGAACATAATGCCTTCTGTATCTCCTAAAAAGCCACAAATACTCCCTATTAAGTCCATTTACTTATACTACGAGATAAAATGTGTATTAACACAGAATATCTTGACAGCATGCCTAACCGTCTGGCTACATTAAATCATCGGGCAGGCTGACACTGGGGGGTCTAGAACTAATGCTGGAGATATTTAAAGCTATTGACTACCATACATTCTGTCCCAAATGTATGTAAAGTAGCTCCCCGTTAAACTTAATCGGCGAATGCATTTAATGGGTGCTCCGTTTGATTTTATTATAACAATAGGATGAGTACGGTTTACGGATTATTAAGGTTTGCGTGGCTTTTCGATGGGAGGTCACTAGAACCCGCAGTGAACGGCGATCAAATTAATTAAATCGCACGTTTCGCGGTTTGCCACCACAGATGCAGGTGTCACATCAAAATACAGCCGTGCTGCTGGTCGGCTCCGGGTGAGATATCGGATCCCTTAGCAGCGGCGCTCCAGCGCTGTCCGGCCCCCCGGGAACGCCCCTGGCCCCGCACCCGCAGCACCGATCACGGCCAACCATACGCGGGCAGCTCTCATGTCGCGGCTGCCCTTCGCTCCGCTCCGGTTCGCAGCACCCGGGGCACGCCGTCTCAACTCGAAAAAGTCATAATAATACGGATTAATTGATCAAAGGATGGACACCGACGTGAGCAAACCGCCAGCTCAGTTGTCCGCTTGGCTAATATAACTAGTAGTCCATTACGTATAAAGCAATTGGGCAAATCAAGCACCACGAGTAAATCGGATACAAAACTGTCCCTTACGGTATATTATTAAATACTAGACATTCAACAGATCTTAAATGCATTCCATTAGCTATTACTGTTAATGTTATTTATGTTTTTTTCTAGACGTGATTAAAAGTAAAAACGAGTATTTCTGCCCGTATACTATTTTCCAAAACGCATTTAATATTCTGGGCCGGATTATTCACACGTAAAGTATCTTTTGGTCACTCGTAGCCATGTATGCTATAACCAGAGCAAGAAATACGTGTGAAATTTATATAAAAAGACAATGTATAATTGTTAATGTATATATTTATGTATATATATTTATATATTTATATATAAATATATATATATATTTCCTCTCTTATCAGTAGCTACTTATTAAAGATAATATAAGCTGTTTTCAAAGATTTAGTGCATGTCGAAATCAACTCTAATCCATGTATAAATCCCACATCTGTATAAATCTTGCAATAGATCGCTACACCGCGAAATCTTTCATTTTTTCGAAGTGGTTAGCCAGCTAGCGGGCTAACTATCGCAGCTCAACACCGACTTCTCTTTTCGCAAAACAGCCACCTTCGGCTCCCCCCTCGTCACACACACGCACACACACCCTAACCTCTACCTCCCCCAAAGAAAAAATAGACTAAAATATTGCTGCGAAAAAAAACGAGCTCCTGCGATGACAACAGCAACGGCACCGACGGCTAATCTCAATTCAGATGACAAGGAGGAGAGGAACATAGTCAACTCGTTCGCCGATCTGAACTGGAAAAGAACGACGTGGTTTCTCAAAAACAGAGAAAAGAACAGCCTGGCAGAGATGCTCTGATACGGATCCGTGGAAATGATGGCTGGAAATAATAACAAGTCTGCGAAGTCCCGTGAAATTTGTATGCAGCTGGCCAGTCCACGTAGGGTCTATTCACAACAACACACTCCCTTCCGTCAACTCGGTGAGTCTTTCGTAGTAAAAGTCGTTGTATCACAACATCATTCACTTGAACTCGACTCTTCCCCTCGATTCCTCCTCTCTCGCTCGCTCGTCCTTTCTTTCTTTCTCTTTCCCTCCCTCTTTCTCCTGTTGTAAACTGGGCTGCCCCCTCTCGCTCTCTGAGTGTCAACCTCGCCCAGCCCAGCACCGCCCATCGGCCTACTTTGTATTTCTCATTGGCCTATCTCATTCCTCGTCATCTCGCCGCCTAGCTCTATAATTGGTCAATATATACGCTGGAATGTCAGTCATATGCAAATCACACACTGTCTGGTTCTCATGCTCGGACTGGTCTCTGACTTGAACGAAAGCTTCTAAATATTAATAGTCAAATAAAATTAGGGAAATGCAACCTATTGGCTGTGGTGTCCTTTGGTCCCATGGTGACGTTGCAATTTTCGTTCAGCTATTGGCTCGTGAAAAACAACCTGACTCGTATTGCTGAAACTATTTAACATAGCCCCTCCCACGCGTCATTACCATTGGAATGGCCTAAACACTGGGTCGAGATCGACTGAAGATCACACCAATTGAAAAAGGGCACTAGGATGTAGGACAACAAATCGCTTGACACAAGTACCAGATGTAGTGCCCTCCCACTGAGCTGCGGTCTGAACTAGAAAAGCAGTTCTTGTCACGACCGTTTGAGGACAGAGGGCGCTGTAAACATTAGATAATGCAGCTCTCGTAAACACGACTGTAAACCTAGCGTTTAATCTACCATTTACATTCTAATGGATAGTTAGTTATTTAGTGCTACTACCTCTTTCTGTATTGTGGATTTCATTATATCAGTCTACCCTTCAATTGAATGCAAACGTTTACAGTCACTATAATATTCATCCCTATAATATTTCCCATATTCCAAATATCTATAAACTACGGTACTTATTTGGATTTTACCAATGTCAAATTAGCCACCACGTTTTTTGAGTTTAAAAAGTGCTGTTAAATGAAATGTCCTGAAACATGTCTCATCACCATGAAATGAATGT